AGTTTTTTTTTTTTTTACTGCTAACCATTAAAGAGATCTATTTACATTATTCAGACTATTGTCCTCATCTTTGTCACCATATTTATTACAGCCTTTCAGTATCTGTCTATATTTCTGAGATGAGGTATTATGTACACTATTTACATTATTTGGACTATTGTCCTCATCTTTGTCGCCATATTTATTACAACATTTCGGCCGTTGTACACTCTGGCCTTCTTCAGGTAGTTGGAATGTTGAACTGAACCCTTTATTTCGCTCACTGGGGTAGACTGTTCTAGTTGCACATGCCATGTTTTTTTAATGGATGTCACTTATCAGTTATCTCCTGTTAATTCCCCTCTCCAAGTTCTCCACTGCCTTAACCAGGTATTGAACTCACACTCTTTGGGCCCTGTCACTGGATCTAACCAACGCCTTTATCCACTGTGCCATGTGTCCTTGAGTAAGCGAAATAAAAGGTTCAGTTCAACATTCCAACCACCTGAAGAAGGCTGGAGTGTTACTGAATGGCCGAAACATTGGGGACAAAGATGAGGACAATAGTCCAAATAATGTAAATAGCGTACATAATACGTCATCTCAGAAATATAGACAGATATTAAAGAGATCATTGATTAAATTTCATGGCCTGTCAACTGTATTATTACAATCTGTTTGAAAATATTCTATTTTCTTAACCTGATGAGTCCCATTTCCTTCAAGAAGTAAATTTATTATTTATTTATAAGTAATTTATATTATTTATAACAATTTATAAGTAATTGTTATAGTAATTTATAAGTAATTTATATTTAGAGAAATATCCTCATTTTTGTTGGTGTGCTTTCAAGCCTTCTTCAGGTGTCTGTTGAATCTGGATAATCAAACAATTTTGTAGTGTACTCTTTATTTAATGCAAAAGGGTAAATTGTTCTAATTTTGCTGTCCATATTCTCGAGATACATTCTCTTGTTCTCTTTCATTAGCACTACTCTGTTATCATTAGCCTTGTGCCAGCTAAGGCAATTGTCAAGTGGTAGGCCTTTGTTAGAGTGGCTTTTTCTTAATTACCTTAAAGGGCTAAATGGTTCCAACTGTTTTTGTCATTAGCTGATGGCTAAGCAATAGAGATGAATTTCTGACCATGGATTGTTGCCATTCCTAAGGGCATTCATATCATGTGAACTTACAGATTGCCTACATCTTTACTTTTAACATTTTACCTCCAATTATAAAATCTAAAAATATTCAAACAATATTTTGTTGTTTTCATTTTGTCTTTGGCTTAAATTGTACAAGAGTCAAATATGAGACATATACCTGAAAACCCCTAACCCAAAGCATCTGAATGAAGGACAATTTTCTAAGCCATTCTGATTATGTCTCACTAGCTTACTACTAAGTGACCCTACAAGAGGGTGTGTCTATTTAGGGTTAGAACTTATAGATCATTCATAGTTCTGTTTCGTCTTTGCCAAATTGCATAAAGTCCATGGAAATAGCTATGAAATAATAAAATATTTAATTTCAAATCTCTATAAAAAAAAGTATTAGAAATTCTCCTCTCCAACAAAAGGCGAGAAACAACAAAAATTAAGATCCTTGTTCAGATAATATTTAGAACAATGGAAGTCCTTCATCTCACAAGTTTACATACAAAGTCTTTGCAGCTTTTGGTGAATATTCCTTTGTGATCATCAAACTAAATGAGATTCCAAATTCTTCTCTTTATATTCCAATGTCGACATTTTTTTTAACTTACCTAAAAAAACAAAAAATAAATAAATATAATAAAATGCTCTTTGAGAAAAGCCTTGGAATCTTTATTCTGTTTTAAGCCACTTGACCGTAATTTCAACATTTACGTAAGAGGATTTTCATTCGGCTGTTTCAATTATTCTTGTTTACTTTGAAAGAGAACATTCAGAAATTCCTTTCAAAATGGAGGACAGATAAATGGACGACATTAAAAGCATTAAAATCTCGCCTGGTTACTATCATCTTTAACCATTATCAGGATCAAAAATATTTCCAAAATTTGCTAGAAGACTATTGTAATATTCTTTGACAGACAAAGAATATTCTCATCAAATGTAGGCGTACAACATATTTGATAGAGGACCAACTTCTTCCTCTAAAATGGATAAAAAAAAAAAAAATATCCTCCCACATTATATATGCAAACTGATGTATGCACAAAAGTATTTTTTTTCCTAATATATCTGACTAGAGCAGGGGTTATAAGCTATCAAAGCTATTCTTCAGTGCAGATTCTTTTGTATCTGTCTATATTTCTGAGATGATGTACATTATTCGAACTATTGTCCTCATCATTGTTGCCATATTTATTACGTTTCGGCCGTTGTATGCTCTGGCCTTCTTCAGGTGGTAGGAATGATGAACTGAACCCTTTATCCACTGTGCTAGTTCAATACCTGGTTAATGCAGTGGAGAACTTTCAGAGGGAAAATTAACAGGAGATAACTGATAACTGACATCCATTAAACATGGCACATGGAACTAGAACAGTCTACCCCAGTGAGCGAAATAAAGGGTTCAGTTCGACATTCCACCCATCTGAAGAAGAGCATACAACAGCCAAAACGTTGTAATAAATATGGCAACAAAGATGAGGACAATAATCTGAATAATGTAAATAATGTACATTCTTTTGTGTTCTCAAACAAAAATAGTCATCAATATTTAAACTTCATAATTGGTTGTTACAGGAATATTTCTTCAAACCTAAATTTGTTTAAATTCTGAAAAAAAAAAAAAAAAAGAAGAATTTCTATGGATTGAGGCTAGTATTTTGGTAGGGAGGGAGAGAATTGAACTCATTTCGACTGTTTCACTCTCCATTCTTCTGCAGGTGTTTGTGGCAAGTGAAGAATTTTATGTGAATTTAAAAAAATAAATAAAACAGAAATGTTTCATCTTTGGAATTTTTTCTTATTGGCATATAAAATAAAATATAAAACAATAAAAATAAATGTCTTTTTTCATGCAGATGCAGGATAGGAAATTGGAAAGAAAAATAAATAAATTCTACAGAACTTCTAAAAAAGCAGTCCACCTTGAAAAGCATTTTATACTTAATTCTAAGCACACTCATCTTATATATTGTTTATACATCATTCATTTGATATATTGATTTGTATATCATATATTCCATGTATTAGTTAATGTGTGGGTAATGTAATTGTTATCAGTATAAAAACCTGAACCAATGAGGGCTGTTCAAATTTGGCAGATTCTCCTTTTTATTTTGTGCCAATGACAGGAGTCCATGTTCGTCCAGCTCCAGTTAAATAGAATTGCAGAATAGGTCCTTTAGCATTAGGTGGCATCCTATCTAGGAGACAACATACCATGTCATTCCAAGAAGAGTCACAATCGTGAACATCTTGTCCTTAAGCTTTTGACATTGTTGGTTCTTTTGAAAAATATGACCAGATCTGCATAAACCTTCATCATTATAATAAAATCATTTATGAAGGTAGACTTGCAGTTCAGCTTTAAACTGAACTCTTGATTTTTTATATATATATATATATATATATATATATATATATATATATATTTTTAGGCAGCAATCATTCTTTCATGCACATTTCATTGAATACAACAGACAAGGTGCTTTTATTTAGTTTTTTGTACAATTTCTCATGCGATCTAATAATTATTTTCTTTTCGGATGATAAATTATATAAAAACTGTCCAAATGTTCTTTTTATCTGACTGGTTTTGGCGATACATTTGGCCATTTTCAAGGATTAAATATTTTAACTGTTAAATAAGAAATAGTTTGTTGTATGAATATTTTATAAAATGTTTTCATTTTTCAAAACAATATATATAATCTGTGACTTATCATCGTGTAGCAAACTTCTATATATGTAACATAACAGGATGTCATCTTTGATGGTGAACATCTCTGTTGTAATGTCCATATAACCACATCTGATGATGGCTCATGTGAGCCGAAAGCTTAGATTGAGAAACAGCATAATAAAAAATATCCAAATGCTGGACAGTTTTTTGTTTTTTTTCTCCCAAAACTAAAGCCACTAAAGCTTAGAACGGCTCATGATCAAACATAATAGACATTCGTTGTCTGTTATATTTAATAATATATGTTTGAATAATGATCTGTTGCCCCAATACACTAAAATATATAGGTATATATATTAATATATATCAAAGGAAAAACTGAATATATCATTAAAAAATTTGGTAATAATTTATTAAATTATATACAGGGTGCCCATAAAGTTTGTGTACATTTACATTATATATATATATATATATATATATATATATATATATATATATATATATATATATATATATATATATATATATATATACATACACACACACACACCCACCCTGGTGCTGTAGGCTTATGTGTGGTATAATGGATAACAGCTTGGAATTGGAAATCAGAGATCTGAGTTCCAATTCCAGTTGTGTTCATTATATTCACTTATATGGGAAAGATATGAATCCAACTCTTCTCCTCCCCCAGCTATGGGTTAATTAGTTGGACTTGTATCAGTAAATGATTATCTCCAAAATAGTCTCACAATCTAAAAATATTTTCTGGCTTTAAATAACCTGCAAAAAATTGATAAGTCATAAAAAATAATAATAATAATAATATATACTTCTTGTTTGATGCTAGTTTTGTTACCATTTTTTTTTTAATTTGTTGTTAAAATCTGCTCCTTATATATTGTACTTATCTCTACACTGGTACTACTAACCATGTTTTCTAGTATGATTCCCCTGTTTCTATTTCAAAATCATCTCAGATTTTGACAACTATCATTTCTATATTGTTGTTATTTCATTATTTATATTTAAAACAAGATACTTCTTTTTGAGTTTATATCCCCATATTATACATATTTTTACATTGGGTCTACTAAGTGTATTTTATGATAAAACCATACATGCCATCTCTTTTTGTATATTGACAAAACTTGCTTTTGTTTTTCACTGTTTGTCTCTAGGTTCTCTCCACTTCCCGCTGCGTTGGTATATCAAAGGACGAGCAGGAGTTGTTCGTCCAAAGGCTAACAACAGATATCGGTATCGTTACTATGACAACAATGTGATTGATAGAAGACGGAATTATAATCGAGGAGAGATTTATGTCAACAACCAGGAGGGCTTCAAAAGAGAAGAAGACAGGGGTGACAATGACAAAGCAGCCGTGAATCATGGAGGATCTTTTCAAAACAACCGAGTTCGCTTTAATGACGACCAACAATTGGACAATGCCATCCGCAATGATGGTATGCCTCATCTTCCAAGATTCCATGAAGTGGAACAAAAGGTAAAGTAATTCTATTTATACCAAGAGTAAGTAACTCTTGATGATATCAAAACTGAAGTAGAAAATTCTTTGGCATTTCCTGGAAATAGCTTCAAACTCCTACAAGAGTCAATATTTAGAAGAATTTAATAATTTAAAATGGATTTTTAGCATTAGGACTGCTTGTAATTTTTGTGGATACATTTCTAAAGTTAAAAAAATTGATTTTTGTTTTAATTTAAAATATGGCACTTGAATGTTTTTTAACAGAAACTAATAAGATTTTTATTAAAGTGTATGAAATTTATACAAAATTTCTGTGTGAAATGTGCCTTAATGTGATAAATGAAATTATTTAGATAAACCCTGAAAATTAAATGTACACCCTTGTGCAAAGTAATTGAAACAAAATGAATAATTTGGTTATTATTTACTTTTTTTTCATATTTTTCCAATGAAACATGACTCCATGCATATGTTATTACTTTGTATGTCCATTCCACAAAGTCATTCCTTGTAGATTGACCACAGATTCTTGATTGGATATAAATCAGGAGAGTTTCCAAGCCAGTCAATAGTACTTTGATTTGCTCACTGGTAAGGCTTGCTATTGTGTTTGTACAATGTTCCAATTTTCATACACTTCCTTGGAGTAACGTCCATCACAGACAACTAATCAGTATCAAGACAATAGTGTCTGAGTGTGATGAAAATCTGATGCAATATTTTTCAAGGCCAAACAAATTCCATCATGCACCATGAAAATAGATTCATATTACTGCACACCACTGCATATGACCTAATGGTGAAAGAAAGGAAACTAAAGCAGGTGTTTCAATTAATTTATACAAAGGTGTATATAGCTGTGAGTGTTATGTGAAAAAGACATCAAATAAAAACAGTATTATCATTTAAATCTATGAGAATGTGTGATATCTTTACCCAGTTTAGTGGTTCTTGCTTGTGAGATAACTAATTGCAAAATTGGGTTTTAAAAAGTCAAATTTATAAGAAAAAAATATTGTCTTCATTTGTAATCTTAATTGTGATATTTATAAATGTTTGTTGATGGCTTTTATAATTGTTTAGTTATTGAAATAAAGCCTTTTTCTGTCAAGTCACAGCTTGGAACTAAAGGGAAGAATAAGATGTGTATAAAAATTTTATTTTCATCATATCTTTAGAAAAAGTAAGAAATATATTTAAAGAATTCACAGATTCTGTACGAACAAAAGGACAACCAAAAACATTAAAACCTTTCATTTTATTAAATTATTAAATACCATTTTAGACATAGACATATCTTTCAAGCAAATCTGATGGCAACCTTTTGGGGAGAGTGGGCTATTTAATGTCTTGGAGGAGGGTCATTATATCAAATGTACTATAGTTTTTTTTTTTTTTTTTTTTTTTTTTTTAAATGAAGCCACTAGGATGCAGGGGGTTGCAGAAGATTTGGAGCAAGAGCAGATAGGAGTGATAGAAGAAAGGATGAGGAGAAGGATAGTGGGTAGATCAAGGTAACTGGAGGTGTCGATTGACATTACATTTGAATAGTTGGAGATTATAGCTCTCAGGGAAACAGTAATTGGGAAGGGTGTTCCACAGGTGAGAGGTGCGAGGTATGAAGCTATTGGAGTAGAAGAGACAGCTACATTTAAAAGTTTCTACAGTGTAAGGGTGGGAGCGGCATGCCAGCCTCGTAAGACGCTTGAATTCATGGAGTCTGGGAACCAGTGAAAGCAGCTCATTGGAGCAATTACCATGAAAGTATTTGTAGAAAAGACAGAGGCGATGGTGCATCTGTGAGAGAGTGACTGTAGACGAGACGCCAGATCAGGGCCGAAGTAAATTGTTTCAACCTCAGACAGTTCCATCCAGAAGGCTGACTCGCTCTGGAGGTTTAAAAAAGAAACAAAATTAATATCATATTATTTAAACAAGATTCCTTATTTTATTGCAAGGATAACAGGATAACAACTAACATAATCAACAAAAAATGCATTACTACAAATGAAATACATTTAGAAATGACCAATTATTTAATGAGACACTTGTTGTCTGCTTATTGTTTGATAACTTCTCCACATCAGTAGGGGAATATTTGTTGATGGCAGGAGCAAAACATCATCTAGGTGGTCATCATCTAACCTTGTACTTAAATGACTTTTAGTAGATTTCATTTTCAAAAAAAGCTGTTCACAAGCATATGTACTTCCAGATAATACCATTATTTTAGCACTATTCAATATATTTTTATATTTTCTACTTGGCAAAAAATATTTCTTGTAGAAGTCAGTAGTAGATTCAGAATGAAATTTTGATTTAAAAAATCTGTTGCATTGTAAGTTTATTAATGCCAACTGATATTTTTTGTGCCACTTGCTCTACAAATTAAGTATAAGTATCCAGGTGTTAACGGCTGGACAAAAATCCTCCAAGGGCTGGGGTTACCGAACCCTGATTTAATGAATTATTTAAACTCTACTCTTGTCATCTTTATAGCAAACTGTGACTTTCTGACTATATTGTTAAATTTCATGAATTACAAGTTCCATGATTATCCTTGTGTTTGATAATGCAAGGCAAAAGAAATAAACAGTAAGCCTCTTAAAAGACTTGAATTGGCGTCCTTCTTCATAAAATCTTTTAGCCTTAATAGTTGGGTCATGAAGGCAACAGGAAACTTTTTACAATAAAAAGCAACTGAAAGCAAGATGAAATAAATACTAGTTAAAAAAAAAAAAAATCAATATTTGACAAGAATTGATTCTAAAAAATTGGCAATAACACAAGTTCAAATATGGTAGTTCAAATTTTTCATTGCCAAAAGAGGTCTAAGGGGGCTAGAGTTCTGTAGCCTATATGTGTCAGTGAATTGCTAGTGAGGCAGACTGAGCATCAGCACTGGAATGACGAGGTGCATGCATTAGTGAGTCAGATCAAGGCTGGCAGCATGTCCAATATGCAAATTCTCTGGCTTGGCAAGAATGTATAAAAAAAGAGGAGTTTCTGTTGAGTCGGCAGACTGAATTTGTGCGTTCAGTGTAGTTCAGGTTTCCTGCTACAATGTTTTTTGCTACTTTTCATAAAAATAAATAATTTCTATCAAAGATAATTGTAAAAAGCAAATCAATAAATCCATAGCCTGATAGCCAGTCATTGACTAAATTTTCATTGTATAATATTTGATCTATGGGAAAGTGCTAAAAATTTCTAAGGCAGATCCAGAGATTCCTCCTCCCCAACGAAATTCTTTTATTTTATTCATTTAGTTAGATTTTTTAGCAGCTGAAAAATACTGACATACCTATATGTGAATATATATATATATATGTGTGTATGTATGCATGATAAAAATATAGTTTTAAGGTATGATATATTTATGGGTAGATGTATCAATACCAAGGCTATTGTATATAAATAAACATGGACACTGAGATTAACACTGAGTGGTGACAGTCTGTTTCAAGCGTGAAGGAAATCTTCATAGTCTCGGTATTGACCTCAGTGTTCACTATATATATATATATATATATATATATATAACAAAGTTATTTAGTAGAAAAATCTATATTTTCCTAAAGATTTTGTACAGATGTTCAGTTCAGGCAAACAGGAAAATGTTATTTTTATAACCCTGCCCTAAGCCTAAAGAGATGCCCTCAAAATGTGGGCCCTTAGAAATGAATGCATCCTTAGATCAGGTGGTTTGTGTTCATGGCAGGGTTAGGGTTAATGGCATTCACAGTGACAATCAGTTGTTGGTATAATGGGGTCTGCTGATTGGTTACCTGTCTCAATGACTCTCTCCCATCAGAAAAGCTAAGAGACCACATGTTGACAATGATGACAATGATTGTCAAAATTCTTGCCTCTTGAGGGAATGTATCATGGCTGTTGTTGCTCTTGATCCCCAGACACATCACTGCACAAAGTTATCCTGTTCAGCTCAACACAAGAAATTGGCTCTCCCCCATTTGCTGCCTTGTGTCATGAACACAGTGTGCCTTTTCCTGTATCAGAGTCAAATTGTTCTTGAGTTGTCTGCAAAAGAAAAGGATTTATTACTGTTACTTTTGCTGGTTTGCCATTTTTACACACGATTTTCTTAATAAATATACATGTTTCTTTTTCTTAATAAATATACGTTTTTTCTTTTTTTCTTCCAGAAGTCCCGGCGTCATCCTGAGGTATCTTATTTCCGCTATAATGCTTCAAATCTTCCTGGCATGTATGACTATTCGTGCCTTTTTTCAAGGGCTACATGGGGCTGCGTAAAGACGGCCTACAATGTGTCACATGCCAAACTAATGTGTACTGAAGATCCTTTATGCAAAGCTTTTATCATTCTTTCTGGACACCCCGACACTGATAGTAAGTTCAAAATGTTTTTTTTTTAATCTATTTTAACCAAAATTTTAAAAATTTTTTAGTTTCACCAAATAGGAGTTTAGTAAAAAAAAAAAAAAAAAAAGTTACAAATTATGCTGCACTTATTTCAATTAATGCCTTACTTAGTTCTCTACTTATGTAAAAAAAAAAAAAAAAAAAAAAAAAAAAAAAATTAAAAAAAAACAACAATCTTAGTTGGCAATAATGAAAATGACAGATGGCTATTTTGTATAAATAACACACTGGCTACTGTTTATGTCATGTGATAATTATAAATGAAATGATGCACTAAAATAAGTAACCAAGTAATCGTTTTAAGTTCTCTTAATATCAGTGCCTTAAAAAAAATACACAAAATAAAACAAGATTTGGAAAGACTATTGCGCCAGTTCAATTCTGGTATCTTTTGATTTTGGTAGGATATTGACAAAATCAAAAACCTCAAACCAATTTTGATTTTAGACAGATGTTATTCTATCGTAGATAAATCTATGGTTGACATTATCAAAAATTAACAGATAGCAATTTATTTGATTCAATTGACGAATTGCTTAAGATTTTTTTTTAGAAATAACAAAATTCAACTTGCTGAGGTTGACTGTTCTAGTTTCACATGCTATGTCTAATAGATATCAGTTATCTCCTGTTAATTCACCTCTCCCAGTTCTCCACTGCTTTAACTCTTTGGTTCCTGTCATTGGTTAGAACCAATGCCTTTATCCACTGTGCCATGTGTCCTTAGTTAGAGCCAGTGACAGGACTCAAAGAGTGTGAGTTCAATACCCGGTTGAGGCAGTGGAGAACTTTCAGAGGGGAACATAACAGGAGATAACTGATATCCATTAGACATGGCATGTGAAACTAGAACAGTCTACCCCAGTGAGCGAAATAAAGGGTTCAGTTTGACATTTCAACCACCTGAAGAATGCCGGAGCATACAACGGCTGAAACATTGTGATAAACATGGCGACAAAGATGAGGACAATAGTCCGAATAATTTAAATAGTTTACATAATACCTCATCTCAGAAATATAGACAGATAACAAAATTCAATTAATTGAATAAAGTGTTGAATTTATATTTATTTGATTTTTATTTTATTGTCCCAATTGGAAATATTTTAATTTTTAATGCACAAATTCTCATCACTTTTGCATAATCCTTGGATTATGTTAGACCTTTTTCAGATTTTGTTGAATGAAATCTTTTATTATTTTGTTCCTTTTGTCACCCTTTCTGGGATTTCTTTGAGATTGTGTCTCTCTCCCTCCTTATACATTGTGCACTTCCACTCACTTATCTGGTTTTGTCTCTCTTTCTGTGTAGAATAAGAAATATCAAACACCACTTTTCTTTATCTTCATTATCATTTTTTTTTTGCCTCCCAAAAAAAAAAAAAAAAAAAAAAAAAAAAATGGAAGTAATTTTCCTTCTGCATCTCTGGTTGATAGAATTGCATTTTTTTTTTTTTTTGCACTCATTGATATGAAAAAAGCCACTGGCAAATATCTCATTAGATGGATTGTTAAGTAAGTTTTTTTCCCCATTCCTCTTACCAGCCTTTGAATTAAGAGCAAAAATATGAAGAATTTGACAAAAATAACAAGAGTCTATTGCAGACCTGCAGCAAAATAGAGGCTTTTGTTTCAGTTGATTTTCACTTTAATTTATATTAGGTTAGGGGGTAAAATGGACAGTTCATTAGAGTTTTACAAATACAACCATATATATATATAACATAACAGAAAAATCCAAAATTACCTCCTGAGTATAGATAGACTATTTCAAGTAATGTCAATGTGTTAGCTTTATTCAACTGAAATGGTGGACTGTATTTAGTGTCGGAAGTAGAGATTTATAATTTAATATTTAAAAAAAAGACAGCAGTTAAAAAATTGATACGGACAACACAAACAGCCTCAGTGCAGACAAACAGCCTCAAGGCAATGTAGGATTTATTATGCTGCATGTGTTTATATATATTTTAATTTAAAGAAAAACAGACCACTTTAAGGCTCCATTGTAATAATTTATTTCACCAGAGAATTTTATCCTTCTCTGGATCCTCAGACTTCACTTTCAAAAGGTGAAACGAAAAATGAAATTAAAATTTACACTTTTGACGGGCAGTATTAAGCTTATATAAATTGAAATGGTATGAGAGACATGATTGAGTTTAGAGAGGGAATGGAGAGTTTTAAAATTTATTTTTATATTTCTTTATATATTACTTAATATTGAGGAAGGAGGAGATTACAGCAAGCTGATAGTGAAATAATAAATCCCTCATTTGCCTGCTTGTTCAATTGAATCCTGGCAGGAAGACCTTAATTTTATATCTGTTTAAGCCTGATCATAAACAAAACTTCGATCAATGAAAGTGATAAACTTTTAAATGTTAACATTCTCTATTAACTGTGACTCATTTTTATTTGCCTTCCCAATTGGCATTTATTAAGAGTTATTAAAAAGATTTTGACAAGTGCAGGTTTTATACCTTTTTTTTTTTGGTTTATACCTTTTTTTATCTGTGTATATTTCTGAGATGAGGTATTATGTACATTATTTGGACTATTGTCCTCATCTTTTTTGACATATTTATTACGTTTCGGCCATTGTATGCTCCGGCCTTCTTCAAGTGGTTGGAATGTCGAACTGAACCCTTTATTTCATTCACTGGGGTAGACTGTTCTAGTTCCACATGCCATGCTTAATGGATATCAGTTATCAGCTGTTAATTTCTCCACTGCCTTAACCGGGCATTGAAACTCACACTCTTTGGTGGGTCCTAATGCCTAATAATAATATGTTGACTAACCTGGTTTAGGCAGTGGAGAAATTAACAGGAGATAACTGATAACTGACATCCATTAAACATGGCACCTTTTTTTTTATTTTATACCTTTTTTTTTAAAAAAAAAAAAAAAGAAAAAAACACATTCAATTTTCATTAGATTAAATCACAGAGATTGTTTGGCTTATGCTGTTTTATGGCATGTCAACCTCAATGGCTTCATTAATGCCAACACACAAAGATGAATTCTTAATTTAGTATTTGCAGTTTTTATATAAGTAAACAGAAGAAGTCTGTAGTTAGTGTACATAATGTTGATCCTGCTCCTTTGGCAATTTGTTCAGCCATTATCAAGATTCAAGGCTTTAGTTCCACCAGTTAAGGCTCAGCATTCTAAGTACATTGGAACTAATCTTCATATTTCATTGGTAAGGAGGAAGTTCAGTTCTTTCCAAGAACTGCTACTTTATGGTACAGACTCCTGAGAGGATGCTTCCCCAATTGCTACAATCTTAACCTCTTCAAGTATAAAGTCAAATCTTATCTTTCCTTCATATTCTCATTACTTGCCCTTCTTACTTCCTTCTATGTCCAGACAACAATTTCAGCAACAGTGTATTGAGTGAATAGGATAAAAAAGAAAAAAAAAAAAGAATCTGCAAATTGGTACCACAGTAGCCACTCTGTTGGCTTATACTTGGCAGGAAAGCTGCTGTTGACTTCTTGTAGTGATAAGTTTACCTTTTTCAGCATTGTTAATTTTTCCCCTAGTTTCAGACCATCACTAATAGGTATGGACTATGATGCTGCAACATGAACACGTCACAAGCTGTGCTATTTTGGAAATTTTCATCAATCAAATCCTTCTATTTACTTATAATTGTGGCATTCAATGCATCCAGATAAAAGACTCCAGGTTGGTTTCTCTGTTTATATAACTCTAGTCTTGTTGCTACGTATGAGTATGTTTAGATGTGTATAATTATGTTTGTATAAATATATATGAAAATGTTAATCGGTCATATCTTGGCTTCAGTCACTTTTCCGCTGCCAAAGGATAGCTTCTGTGTCTTTTCTATAAATATTTTACATGGTAATTGTTCTGATGGGTTTTCTCTTTCATACCTGGACTTCATGAATTCAAGTTCAGTACTAAATTGGCAGTTAGATTGCATGATGTTTCTGTTGAAGCTGTTAGATGTAGAAGGCAGAAGAATGTGTTGGCTGCAATGTTGTGCTAATAACAAAGTTTGTCCAAATTATAATAATGACTTTTTTCTTTGTTGTTTTCTCTCCTCATAACAATGACACCTAGAATCTGCAATGTTATCAGTCCCGATTTGGCATCTTGTCTTCAGTCACTGTCCCACAGCCGTAACAGTTTACCTTTGATTTTATATAAAAAATTTCATCGTAATTCTTCTGATGAGCTTTTTTATTTGGTACATTGATTTTATGAATTTAAATGCCGTACTAGATTGGCAGGAAGGTCTTATTATTTTACAGGTGAAACAGCTAGATGTAACCGTAAGTTCTATGCTAACAGTTTCTTGTATTGCTCTTCTCACTTGTGGAACTCATCTGGCTTCTTGCTTTCCAGTCAAATATAATGTTCAAAAAATGAAATGTCAATCATCATCATCTCTCTCCTTGAATCTTGTATTCTGTTTTTCCTCAGAATATGTGCAGTTTTGGCAGCTAGGTTTTCATCAGTTTACACTTGAAATGGCTAGACATAACTAAGTTCCATTGTTTCTGAAACACTCTGATGGCCTCTTGCTTTCCAGTCAACTTTGATCTTCAAAGATTTACATGCAGTGTTTATCATTAACTTTTGTCTTCTTTCTGTGCTTTTATTGTTTGAGATCCTTAATAAGGTTTCCCTTTATCTCATTCTTTTACACTCAATAAACTTCTGGTTTATTGCCTTGCTTGAAGTGAAAAAAAAATATCTAAGAATATGTCTATGTGTGTATATGTAAAAGGACACTATGCATAAAAAGACAAAAATTTACTTTGATAAAGTGTTAGATATTTTGTCTCGAAAAAATATCTATCTTAGACATTTATAAGTCTACCATATGTCCTTGCTTTCAATATTGCTGCCGTATCTGATCCAGTGTTACTCTTTGGTATCTAGAGGTTCTGGATTAACTTCAAAGAAGAATCTGCAATTTCCTGACCTGG